TCGTGAAACGCAGTTTCCTCTTTGAATTCCAAAGTTCAATGTGTACCCGCTTCCATGTGTATTGTTCCGTTCAAAGAGACCTTTGCAGGATTAATTTAGGTAAATACAACTCCCAGCGAAGCGCACACATTGAAACGTGTGGAGGTGGAAAATTCAACGTATTTCCCTTGTACAAATTGAATTTTTTAAATATTGATTTACTTGAATGTAAAGAAAATTATTTAATCAAAAAGTTCACACCAGAATTAAATAAAGGGATATTATAGTAAGATATGAAATAATTCTCTTTTTATTAATTATTTACTAAATGTAGAAATATGTAAGTAATGTTGTATTTAATAATAGTAACGTCATGACGTTTCGTCTATTGTTCTACATAATCTTTCATAAATAAAAATGGCCTGAAGATGTTCAGTACGAACAGAAAGCGCTAGCCGTTAAATTAGTATTTTGGTTTCTTTCTTTAATTTTTCAAATATTAGAGAAAAAACACTAAAAATTAGTACTTTCATCAAACGAGTTAGATCGTTTTAAAAAATATAAAATAGTTTTGATGCTAAAGCCGTAGTTACACCTCATAATCAGTATGCGTGTTTTATGCCAGAAATGATTATTTTTTCTGAGCGTTTGGAATTTTAAATAACTAAATTTCAATTATCACGTAGTTGTGCTGGGCGCTGCTTTTATAATTTGGGAATTTGGGGACTTGCATATGGTTCAGTTTTATTTCAATAATTCGCTTGTGCGTAAGGGTCTTTAGCAGTGGGAGGAAATCGGAGGACCCGGAGAAACCCCACGAGGTTGGACAGGCGGCCCTACTCCTTGTCACGTACATCCGAGGAATCAAAAATTTGTACAAGCATTTGGCGTTTTAAAAAAAAAACGGCCGCAATATGTAACTGAAAGGTATACAAGGTGTCAATGCCGGTTCCCTGGATCAACCCTGTCATATTTGCTATAGTGCTATACATCCTAACAAACGATTTCTTAGTACCCCAATACCAATTGGGTTACACGGTTTCTCTTCGAGCCAGGCGCTGTCCCAAGTCCAATGCCCGTATTTGTCTTCGTGGATTCCCCTTGCTAAGAAAAAAGGGTCTGACAATGAAAAACGCCCGGTCATGCAACGATAGGGTTATATATATATTGAGTCCACGATCTGGTACGTTATATGTTTCGATACGATCAACACGACTGCTACGACTGGCCTCAATATATGCTAGACCTGATAGGATTGTAATACTATAGGGGTTATTTTAGTTCTAAGAAAGGTGTTCTGTTTAATATAGAAATTCGTTACCTACATGATGTGTGACGAAAACTAGGGTAATGAAGTAGCTTGCATTATTCTACTACTTTCTTAGACTAACTCACCAGCAGTTATGTCAATATCCATTTCTGGAAGTGGGTTACTATCGTCCAGGCATCTCGTGCACAAATTAGTACAATTAAATAGAATAATGTTGACGTAAAACGGTGTCCATACGAAACACTAACCCAAATATGGTAATTGTCCCGCCCTAATAGCTGACGCATACTTTCTATAATAGGGGAGAGCGGGTTTGATTTACTCTCAAGACATCATGATGAGACCGAAGAGAAAACATCATAGAGCGGTCCGAGGGGGGAACATCATAGCCCCCTCTGCTTAGAGACTATGGTGAAGACATCATCATGAGACCGTAGAGAAGACATAATCCATGAGTTCCTAGGGAAACGTCATGCCCACAGCCGCCTCGGTTGAGAGGCTGTGTGAGAGACATAATGTGATGTTTAAGCCGTTCGGTTTTAGTTATTAAGGATGTTAAACTCAGACCGTGGATATTTTAATAACCCCTAAAGTATCTCTAATAGATGTTGTAGTTTTCCTGTATTTAACCTTTGTATTTTGCTGTAGTAACAATATAAAATTGATGATTGAAATAATTGATTCCACAACGTGAAGTCAAAGAAAGTCATAGACGTGACAAGGATAGTCATATTTGTCCCCATAGTATCACAGGATCACCACGATGTTGTTACTTAGGTGTCTTAGTGAAGTTGGCCGTTGAATGATGAGCCGACCCTAATCAGGTCAAATATAGTTCCATTCTAGGAACATATTCTTATACGGTGACCTTGACACTTCTTATTCATAATAATTTTATTTGTACAACATTTATTTTAATAGGTATGGTAAGAAGTGTGATTGTCGTATTTTATTTTTGTCAATTTTGTGGTGTCTTAACCGTGAATAACTGAACTTTTAAAAGACATTGGCCTCTTTGCGTAAAAATAAAATATGTGGAATTGATTAAATTTGATAAAAGGAGATAAAAAAATATTCATTTAGCGCTATATGAATCTCATCCAAACTACAATATTGTGAATGTTTAATCTCTAATAGGAATTAGTGGGTAAATTCTGTTTAGTATACTTACAAAGTTATGGTACATTGAAATTTCAATGTAACAAGACGCCGTCACATTGTATTGGTAGCGGATAAACCTAATCGGTCTAGTTTTAATTCCATTCGAAACAAACTAGGTCATTTTGAAACTAATATATAGTTCAATTAGCTATAGGTGGGGGTGTGGGTACGGTAGGACCCGACGAAAAATCACGAGGATGGACAGGCGACCTTACTCCTTGTCATGAAGGGGTGGAAATCGAAACCACGCCACTTGACTCAATGATAGATCTTATGATCTAAAGCGCACGTGTAAGACCTTTCAGCCACCCAAATCCCTTGTATTGTAAATGAGAAGCAGTTTTATTGTTCCTGCTCCTTTAATCAGATTACACAGATAAATTAAGGAGGCATAAGGAACATCAGAAACTGGACGAAAGTCATATTTCTAAAACTAAATGATGAAAAATTGTAGCTCTAAATCTCAACTGAATCAACAAATAACAGAGAGTTTAGTACTTCGATTAGCTGTAAATCTCAACTGTTTCGACCAATAACAGAGACTTTGGTACTTCCGATTAGCTGTAAATCTAAATTGAATCGGCCAATAACAGAGACTTTATTCATTAGTGATACCGCGACACATTTTTCAAACACAGCAGTAACCCTAGGCGTTGTCAGCGAGTTGGAACTAACCTCGAAAACATTTCTAACTAAACCATGGCGTTCAATCAATTTTCATTTCTATAATATTAGAAAACTAGCTTTCATGAAATCCTATCCAGCTTTAACTGAAATGTTGGTGCGCTCATTTGTTTTGCCCAAACTAGACTATTTGCAATTCCCACGTCTACCAGTTCTAGTTTTAAAACAACCCCAACTAATCCATTAAAGAATAATAACCGGAAGAACACTAACAGATCACACAACTCCGGTCGGTCCTTGTGGACTTAACTGGCTTTTAAATATGTGCATTAACCTACAACTGTCTTCATTGCAAACTTTGAACCATTTATTCCTAAAGGAAATGTTAATCAATTACTGTTTTTCCAGCCAATTTAGCACACCCGATAAAAGTCTATTAAGGATGCCCTCAAAACAACCCTAATATACAGGCTTTTTTAATATAAAAAAAACAGAACGTGTATTAGAATTATACTGTTAATGACTCCGTAATGTGTGCCCCTTAAACCATCTATCGGAAATTACATTCTTTGAGTGAACTAAAAATTGCATCCAGCGGAAGAAACATGCGAAATCGGTTTCTTCCCAATATTTCAACCATCGGTAGGAAATTACATTCTTTGAATAAACTATAAATCACATGCAGCGACAGAACATGTGTTATCTGTTTGTGCTGCTTGATACTAGTATAGGTTCCGATCTTTTAATAAGCCACATATTTTTCAGTCCTGAATAAAATTACTCTATGACCTTGTTATGTAAACATATTACATGAAAATCAATCGACTTCGCTCTCTCAAAAGCAATGAATGAAATAGGATTGAACGTCCTGCTTTTCTGCTCGAACGGGGCTAATCAAGACGGACATACACCATACAGTGTGCTATGAGGGAAATTTTAACCGGACATCCGGTCCTTTACCAACAGATACAACATGTTACGTAGTATTAGAAATTGATGTCTCTTCTAAACAGTAATTAAGTGCAGGTAGAACTGCTCGTTTCGGTGTCTATTGACATGTAGGGTTATTGTTGCCATACCCCACGGATCTATTAGCTTATGTCCTGAACTAAACATGTCATGAAATAGATATTACAAAACATTCAGTCTAAATATTACAAGATTTAATTTATAAAAACAGGTTAGTTACTCGGATGCACATTATATCTGAATCAATTTATCTGCAGGTTTTCCTTCAGTCTTTGAACTGCAGTACTATACACGGACGGATGTAAACCTACTGTGTGTGTAATGGGAATACTAGTATACGGGGTATTTAGCAGTGGTAACAGAAAGATACGACAGCGATAGTCGGTCTCATCGATCGAATTCTCCTTTCGTTCGGCTTCACTGTAAGCATCTATTTTAGTTGGCGGCCGAAATTATCAGCAACTTCAGTTAACTTGTTACAGTCGGGGAAAAGGAATAGCATACATCGAGCGTGTGAGTAGAATATGAGTGTTCTTAAAGTATCGTTTCCTTTTGAACAGTAATTCTAAATTGGCAATAGACTGCATCAGTTAATTCGTAAAGAAATGCTTATCATGTTTTTAATTGATTAAATTCTTGAATATCGTATGCAAGAATATGTTTTTGCTGTAACACATGTACTGTGTCTTAATTAATTAAACCTATTTGGCACTGAATAATTTTGTATGTATTACATGCAGTTCAACTCGAGAAATTCTCATTTTCTATTTGTGTGTGTATTTGTCTTAGAAATAGTTGCGCTGACAATGTGTAATATATAATATAACATCTTTATTATTTCTAGAAACTGGTTCAATAGCCACTCCTCTCCAAGAATAGTCGTACCGTTCTATGATTCGAAATATTTTAAAGGGATACAACAAACGCTGACAGGATGCACAACACTTTTGTTTAAAGGAGGATGCATGCCCCCGCCATGAATTCCAATGTGTCAGAAATGGCACCAAAGGTGTGCAATCTGACGCTTCCGACTCTCAATATAAGCTGTGTGCAACAAATACCTAGTTTACCAAGGGAATTAACTTTTAACGACGACAATTTAGTTTCTGTCATAACCTGTTCTTGTTTGTTTATAATCGCGGCTTGTGGAAATCTCACGGTTTTTATAACGTTATTTAGAAACAGGAATATTAAATCGCGAGTGAACTTATTTATCATGCATTTATCAATTGCTGATTTAATAGTGACTTTTGTAATGCTTCCCTTGGAAACAGTTTGGCATGTTACCGTGGCGTGGCAAGCCGGGGACCTTGCCTGTAGGGTCATGATGTTTTTCCGTGCCTTTGGATTCTATCTTTCATCGTTTATATTAGTGACTATAAGTTTGGACCGGTACTTTGCCATCATGCACCCCTTAAGTTTGAACGATGCCGACAGAAGAGGCAAAATTATGTTAGCCTTAGCTTGGTTATTTAGCATTATTGCCAGCATTCCGCAGGTAAGTGCTTTCATGATATTTGATTGGAAAGTTATATTGGAAATAAAATCACGCTTTCATGATACATTATCCATAAATAATAACGAAGAGTTAAATTATTTTTTGTAAATAAAGGACGTTATTAATAATTACAGAAAATATCGTTTAATGTCAAAATGCGAGCCTAATGGGGTTTTCCATTATTTGCTTGAAGTATTCTAATAATTAGACGCACGTTATAATAATCTACCCACGTTTTATATTGTCTTTTCCTTGAAATGCGTAGAAAACTTACTTTGTGAATAACAAATATTTTTTGACGGCTTGACATTCCGCACTACTAACATCATAAAGGTAGTGTACTAATTTTTGTCCAAAAGAAGCCAAAAAAGGCAATATAAGTGCGGCTAAAATAAACCCTCCTTTAATTACTGGGCCGAAACGAGGTCTTTCTAACATCAATTTGGCGCTAAGCTATCCCACGTGATCCTAGATTCCCAAAACCAACGTGCCCCGCCCAAAAGTCTGAAGTTTTCATGAGGAAAATAGACAGAACAAGATTTTCATTGGATTGGTTTGGTTAAGCCGACTGTCAAATTATCACCTGTTAAAATTAAATGTGAAACCAAAACAAGAGACGGGTAATTAAATGAACATATTTGTTTTAAAATTACTTAGATTTAATATTAATGAGAATGTTTCAAAAATACAGATTTTATATTATGCATATAGTTTAAAATATTAGATTATTACGTTAACATGACTAACATGGCCAATTTAACGAACTCGGCTTCGCACGTGAAAGGGGCCCCGCAGCTCACCAACTTAATTATTTTCCAGGCAATCTGGCTGCAGGGCTTCCAAGTGTGGCTATTTTCAGATATTAATCAATTACTAATTGTGAAGTAAAACATAGTTAAAATTTAAGTAATTCATATCCTGCAATGTATTCATGTCCAGTAACTTTGGGCCCCCTTGTGTCACAGTAATGAAACTCTCATACAATACAGATTATTACATTTGATAGTCGAAAACCCCCAGAAAACTCTGTTACTGTCTGTGATTATTCTTTATAATATTCTTCTAGAGATATTTTCAAGTACCGTAGTTTAGCAATGCCAGGATTCTCCCCATCGTCTGTCCACATATATAGATTTGCAGTTTAAAAATTTGGAAATCCCGACATAGCTATTGTGCACTCTATGTTATACTTATCGACATTATGTCAATCCAACGTGTTTCTACACCATGTGGTGAATAGATTTCAGGCACGTCCATTACCAAAGGTCAAGACCGTTGCCATTTCTTTAGATTTTATGTCAGTTTAGACCCCGACCACTGTTATTAAATTGTTATTTTATTTATCAAAAGACTGTATATAAAATAATATATACCTATAATGTTTGTTAAAATAAATTATTTTCGAGAAGTAATCTCCGCTACTTTTGTAGTTGCCTTGGAAAAAAAATCAAACTTTCCACTATGCCCAAACAATAGAGTAATAACGCTTAACCACCGACAGAATTACACCTGATCCGTCTGTTATTAATGGTTAACGGAACTATTGATTCGGGGTTACTGAAAGTTAAACCATTCCATTACATAAGACCTTATAACCGGAAAGGTAAATTACACAACAGAAAATGTTAATTAGGCTACATGAGCACAGGTCTAAGCTTGAATTTCAGATAATAACCACTGGCATTAAGTCTTCTGGGTTACCCTGTTTCCCCTCACTACTGTAGGCATGCCAAATAACCCAGTTAGTAGCATGTGAACACACCCGTTACCTCCCCCACCTATTCAGTAGACTGTCACTGTTTTTAGAAATGTTTCTTTTTGACTTAAAATTGACTTTATTATAGCCAGATAGGTAAATACTATATTATTATAATTATTCAACAATATACAGTTACGACGTTGGATCGTAATTTACCATCATTGACGTGTTATGAGATCGTGTTTTCTTTATTTCTGTATTTCGCCAATGAACTATTATAAAACAATTAACTTCATCTACCATTTTGGGCCTCTCTCCAACGATATATCTCACTCAATTTACATATTTCAATATTCGTCCAATAAGACAAGAAAATGTAAGTTAATACTCTTCCAGTGTCGAATTAATTTGACAATTGACCATACGCTTAATCGTTACAAATCATCAATATGTTCATATATCGCCATTAATTCTATTGACGTCAAACAGATCCATGTATTTAATCCTTTCAATCCATACAGAGAAAATATGAGCTATTGTAACCCTTTGTATCATGATGGTCTTTAAGGCATAATTAATTCATGGACAAAGGACACTAGCCATAAAAATGATCATGGTCAATGATGTGTGTATACAGAAAGGACGTATATATATATATAACAATCAATATTTCAATAATTACCTTGACGAGAAAAGTTCATAAACACACGTATGTATTATACTTTACATGTCTAAGGAATCGATTAAGGAGACATATGTTCACAAATAGCATTGTATTTCCTGTCATACGTTAGCAAACATAAACTAGGCTACTTCGTACTTTAGCGGGTGTTCGGCGGTAGAGAGATCTAATGCGTGCGCTTTAGATCATAAGGTATGCCACAGGGTGAAGTGGCGTGGTGTCGATTCCAAGTTTGTACGTGACTCCCCAACATCGTTGATTCCCCCACTGCTAAAGACACCTACGCGCTAGCGAATCAGTGGAATCAAATTCTCCCCCCCCCCCCTCTCTCTCTCTCTCTCTCTCCCATAATTATATTATGGAAATTTAATAACATTTTTTTCCCCGGAAGAATACTTTAAACATAATTTTAGGTAAGGTGTTGAATCGCAAGGGACACAACGCCTCTCCAAATACATCATTATGTAAACAGTGAAATTGTTGTGTATAGATATATTTGTTTATGTACAGCTGTCGAAACCTCAACTGAAAACTACATTCAAGGAATCCTATGTTCTTCCTGGAAGAATTAAAAGGAAATATGAACTATCATTGTCTTCTTTCATCGCTGATCTACTTCGTTAATACTGTGATATCTGCATGTATACTTAACGGGTGTGGCGGACAAGGAAGATTTTGATTTGTCATTTTGAAATATCTGATACTACATTTACAGACTAAAGTAAAATTAATTTTAACTGTTTAAGTTAAATTTATAGAGATTAACCCCCACCGCTTTGGTTGACTCCAAAGCGTGTGTTGTTTTTGCTACATTATGGATTACCTAGTGGTAGTGTTCATAGGCTAGTAAGTTTAGCAACTATATCATGAATAAAAATATCATCAATCAGAAATAAAAATCGTGTGTTAAAAGTTCGATTCGTTTCAAAATCCCAGTCCGAAAATACACTCGTGTTCTCAAAATGACAACCAAGCAATTGAACTTAGGTAGTTTTGTTTTTAAAATTTGTATTTGACGGATTCCTTGAAAACCTTTACATGCAATAAACATACCTGTAGCAATTTATATACTAGTTTACTATTCGTGTGTATTTATATCTTTACATTAACACTAGAGTTTATAATGTAGAACAAATATATACCGACTGAAATTATATTTTTTATTCGCAGATTTTTTTTACTTATAAAATATAAATATTTGTATCTATATCTAACAGGGAGGGGGGGGGTATATAGACTATGCCGATTCCCCAATTTACATTCAGATAAAAATCTGAATAAATATTGTTTATATATATACTATTCAAAAAAAGTAGGGGATATTTGATTTTGGGGGCATAATACTAAAATATGCAAATGACTACGAAAAAAGTCACTATAGAACCTAACAGAAGAAACATTTCCAGTTACATGTGACGCCCAAACGCACCAATAGCTACCGCATGGAATGCAGGTGATGCTTGGGATCATCATGGGGGTCCAACCCAAGATTTGCACGACTCTGACTTTGAATGTTACCGTCATTGTGGCATTGAATTCCAGGGTGGAAACATCAGTTTAATTGTTTTAGTGACCAGAAAACAAATTTTGATATGCGTCGGCTTACCAAAAATGAAAGGTTACGTGCCCTTGGCATGCTACAGATGGGCACAACACAGGCGGTTGTGGCGCGGACGATGAATGTTTCTCAGTCTGTCATAAGCAGGCTATGGTCCAGATACCGTGATACACAATCTGTACAGGACAGACCACGCTCAGGTCGACCACGGGCGACAACTCAAGCCCAGGATCGATTTATCCGTACCTTGGCCTTGAGAAATCGTGTCATCACAGCAAATCAGATCAGCGCTCGTCTTCAAACAGACACTGGTGTGAGAGTGAGTGGCCAGACGATTCGGAATCGACTGCATAGGGGTCACCTTCGCGCCCGACGTCCTCGCGTGATCCCTTGTTTGAGAGATCATCACATTCAGGCAAGACGCCGTTGGTGTAGGGATCGTCAACACTGGGATAATCGACGCTGGAGCAATGTGATGTTTTCAGATGAGTCAAGGTTCACTGTTGATTTTTTGGACAGACGTAGGAGGGTGTGGCGTCGTCGAAACGAGCGCTTCCAAGACGTTAACGTCATCAGACATGATCGATTTGGGGGTGGTTCTGTTATGGTGTGGGGAGGCATCACTGTTGCTGGAAGAACGGCTTTACATGTTGTTGCAGGGCGTGTTACAGGCCAGTACTACCGGGACAACATCTTGGCAGTCCATGTTGTGCCGTTCGCACGACGTCATGGCCGCCGTTTCATCTTCCAGGATGACAACGCAAGATGTCACAGGGCCAGGATCGTTACAGGTTACCTCCAACAACAGAACATCACCACATTACCTTGGCCAGCACTGAGTCCCGACCTCTCCCCCATCGAGCATGTCTGGGACATGCTTGGACAGAGGTTACGTCAACGTCAACAACGTCCTGCCAATGTCCAAGAACTTGCTGCTGCGTTGCAACAGGAATGGGACAATCTGGACCAAAATGACCTTAGACGTCTCATTAGGAGTATGCCACGTCGGATCAATGCTTGTTTGGCAAACAGAGGAGGATTTACCCGTTAGTGACTTGGTT